GGAGAATGGAGGAGAAGGGATTGCGGCGTGGCCATCCCCCCTGTGGGGTGATTTCTCGCTTTCTGTCTCTCTGTCTCTCTCTGTCTGTCTGGTGAGCGCACGCGCCCTATAGCAAAAACCTCTCCAAAAAAAGGAAAAAAAATTTCTCTTAAAAAAAAAAAAAACAGAGGATCCATATGCACATTAAGTTTGAGATGCCTGCTCTGACTGAATTTCGATCTACCCACGCTTTTTCCTATGCTGTTTTGGTTATTTCCATGTTGAGCGCATCCCAGGATTAGAGATAACACCTGCTGTGGTCGGACTTAGGTCCTGACTGACACTATCTGCTCTCTCTCAAAGGCCAAGCAAGCCTGTTTCCCCCCCATTTATCTGGCTAGCGAAACTGAGGAAGAGGCATGGGGCCTTGCATCCCAACTGCACCTTCTGAACTCCAGCCTGGAAGCCCCTCAGGTGGCTGCACTTGATCATCTGATGAAGGAGGACTTGGGCCACCGCCGCGTCCAGCAGCTCCAGGTCATCGTAGAAACAAACCAGCAGCCCCAACCTGTGTGAGAGGAAGAGGGTGCTGGAGGGGGTGCAGAGCTAGGGGCCACAGCCACACCCCTCCCCTGTCTAAACCAACAGGCTTGTGATCATAGCAGCTTCTGCTTACCAGGTACAATACGGGTTTACCTGGGTTATCTCATCACAGCAGCCCTGCAAGTAGGCCCTCTCAGCCCTGTTTCACAGCAGGGCCAAACTGAGGCTCAAAGAGCTCGAGTGACTTGCCGAGGCAAGGAGTGAAGCTGGGACTTAAATCTGGATCTATCCGACTATGCCCTCCTGGGACAGGTCAAGGGCCCAAGCAAAGAATTATGACGAGTTAGCCACAAAAAACTCCGTTTTCGTCTGGGAGAGGAGGGGTTTGCCTACCTCCATGGAGTCTCTGAGGCAGAGAACTAGTTCCAGGGTGCCTCCCAGATGGTGCAGAAAGTTCAGAAGGAAAACAAACAAAACAGACGGGGGCAGAATGGTGTAGGAACGGAGGTGGGATATGAACCCTGGTCTAACAGAGCACTATCTCTAGTGGTTAGGAGTAGATTCAGGCAGACTTGAGTCTGAAGCCCAGCTCTGTGAGACCTTTGACCTCCAGCATGTTACTTCTCTGCAAGGCCGTTACATGCAGTTGTACGGTGCCTACTGCACTACTTACAGGGTAGCCCCGCCTCGCTCAGCCTATAATAAATGGGAGGTCCAGGGGCCAGCAGGTGGTATAGTAGTAGGGGCACTGGACTCCCACATGGCTGACTGTATTTCAAGTCCCAGACCAGGTAGCTTGCTTTTGCACCTTCCCCTTCTTTCTGTTTTTCCCTGGCCAAATTCAATAATAATAATAATAATAATAAATGGAATTAAATAAATAAATAGGAGGGTCACTGGGCTGGCCCTGTAGCCTAATGGTTAAGGGAACCAGATCCCACATACCTGATGGTGATTCAGATCCTGGCCCTAGCTGCTTAAAATACACACCGGGTGTGTGTGTGAGTGTGTGCGTGTGTGCTGACATGGAGGCACACAAGGGATTCTCCAACATGGAGACCCGTCAGCTATTTCCGACCCTCGGCCCAGCCTAAAGGAAAGACGCATTCAACTCAGAACAAAGCAGGTCCCAAGTATTTCACACGTCTTGTTTCATGCTCAGAACAGGAATTAGTACCTGATAAGCTTTCCTAAAATACTTATCACATAAGGGAGGCTCAGATAGCATCTGTCCCCTTTATCACCCTTCAAAGAGGGAGACCTCCCTGGGGACACCTCCCCTCGCATGCACAGAGAGACACAAGACTATTAAGTCAGGGACCAGCAGCCTCCCTCCCTTCCTGGGGTCTTTGGCTGCTCAGAAGCTGGTGCTTCGATGGGAAGCAGTCCCGAGGGCTCGGAGCATACACCCCTTGCCTGTGGATGGTGGAGGTATTCCTCATGTCAAAGCCGGAGGAGCGGATCCTCTCCAGGAACGCCTGCGCCAGTTCGGGTGTGATGTCATAGACCGTGTCTAGCTGCTTGGTGGCGTTGTCGTAGCTGATAAACAGCCCAATCTGGTGGAGGGAAATGGGAAGGTCAGTGAGCAGGCAGAAGGGGCCCAGTGTGACTCCTCCTTGGTGGCCTGAGCTGTGCCCCCTATCGGACACTTGGCTATGCCTCTCTGTGCTCGTTGTCACTAATTTCTTAATGATCTAGAACTGATGCTGTGGACTCCTCCTTTAACCCAACTCCAGGAAAGTATGGTTTTAAATATCATAGCAGTTAGACTTTGTTCAAGCTAATTTTTGCACATTTATTTCTAGATGTGTTATATTAAGGTCAGCAAACATGGCCCCAAAGTTTTCTGCTTTGGAGAATCAGATTTTTTTTAATAGATGAGCCAGGTTATACAGGGCCCTGGGGGACGGAAAAGCATGCGTGTTCTCTTTCTAAGATACAAAGTCTGGCATTTAACTTTATTGACTATACCATTCAGATTCTCTAGGTCCTTGTTCCTCCTTTGCCTGTGTGCCCCAACGTGTCACGCTGAAATCGTCCACAACTGTAAGGCTCAGACCCACTTTTTTCCTTTCATTTCTAACTTTTGGCCTTCTGTATTTTGATGCGCTGTTACTCTGTGCTTAAAAGGGCTCATAACATTGTCTTTCCCTCACGGTTTGTACTCTTTGTCCATATACGATTCCCTCTTAGAGGGCAGGCCCAATAAGAGTGGGTAAGTGCTGTGTATTGGGAGCCAGACCCCAGGTGGGTGACCACAGTTCAAACTCTGGCTATGGCCTAAAAAACATGCTGGGCACATATGCATGCATGCCTAAAAACCCTGACGGGAAGGAGAGGTGGAGGAAAAGGGATTGAGTTGTGACCACGCCCTGTTGAGGGTTTCTCTCTCTCTCTGTCTCTTGCATGTCCATTGATAATACAAAGAGTTCTCCTTTTTGAAAAATGGCTTCTGGTATGCGTATAAGACCCCAAGAGGAGAATGGAAGAGATGAAATTGCAGCATAGCCATTCCCCAGGGAATGATTTCTCATATTCCTTCTCACTGTCTGTCTCTCTCCAGTGAATGCACATGCCCTAAGGCAAAAGCCTCTAAAAAAGAGAAAAGAAAATGGCTTGGGGGGGTGGGGGAGTAGCATGATCTTGATTGACAGAAACCTCCCTGAACGCTGACGATGCCCACACCCATGGCCAGGGCTGAATGAAGCTGGGGGTGGAAAGAGAGAGAAAAAGAGAGGAATCTAGTTCTGCCTCTAGTTGACACTGTTAGATCAACTGGTCCATGAACAAACCAGTTATTTGATTCAAACACTTCTCTCACTGGTCAGGAAAAATTGGGGGCATGTATTTTAAAAAATAGGGGCAGGGGCCGGCAGGTGGTGTGGTGGTTGAGGGTGCTGAACTCCCACATGACCAACTACAGTTCAAGTCCCAGACCTGGCAGCTTGCTTTCTCTCTCTCTCTTATCAAATTAAAAAATAAATACATAAATAAGTAAAGTTAAAGAGAATAAATAATTCTTTAAAAATAATAGAGGAGGGACCAGCAGGTGGCGTGGTGGTTAAGGCGCTGGACACTCCCACATGGCCGACCAGGGTTTGAGTCCTGAATCTGGTGGCTTGCTTTCTCACTTCCTCTCTCTCTCACTCTCATCCTCTGTCTCTCTCTGGTCAAATTACAAAATAAATGAATGAATAAATAAAATAAAATAATTATTTAAAAAAAAAAAAGAGGCAGTGGGACCAGCAGTTAGCGTAATGGCTATGTCGCTGGACTCCCATGTAGTCGACCGCAATTCAAGTCCCGTAACCGATGGCTTAAAACTCACACCGGGCCCAAGATCCCGAGAGGAGAATGGAGGACAAGGGATTGCAGCGTGGCCATCCCCCCTGGGGGGTGACTTCTTGTTTTCTGTCTCTCTGTTTCTCTCTGTATGTCTGGTGAGCACACACGCCCTATAGCAAAAACCTCTCCAAAAAAAAGAAAAAAAAAATAGAGGCAAGTCCCAGTCACTTCATAAATGCCTCTATGTTGGCAGCATTCTTTGGAGGCCACGTTCCAGGATCATCGTGCTCAAAGGATTTTAGTTCATGAACTCAACCTCGGAAGAGACAGGTTGACTAGTGAGTCAAGTAACCTTAGAACACGTGCATTTCTCCGCTGTAAACTCTAGAGTTAAACCCGATCATTGCCCGGTGCTGAAGTAGCTATTAACAGAGGGAGCTATAAATAGAGGCAGCTATTAATCCATGAGGCTTTCACTTTGGGTTCCTGCTTCCAAGGACGGGAAACTCTATAGCTATTGTCCTTGGCCTTTCTTGAGTACAAAAATACCCTTTAATGATTTTTGGTTCACAGCCAACATTCCCTTTATATCATGTTTGTTCACATCAGAGCTATTTTAGCGGTGCACGATTCTTTCCCTTTTCTCAACTGGTCTATGCTAGAACACAGCCCTATGACTGACCACTCGAGGCCTTGTTCCACAAGTTTCTTTAGAGGCCCAAGATACGTTGGGCTGAAGCAGGTATATGATTTCCAGGGCACTGTGACTGGCTGGCTGAACACGGGAGGTTTAGAACACACCTTATCCCAGGTATATTATATTAGCAATGGAGACCTAACAATGGACTTTTTCAACTTACTTCTATAGGACTGAGTTTCATAATTTCTTCGAATGATAGATGAACCATATATCTGCCCAAAATCCATAAGTTTTCTGCACTGACCCATGAAACAGAGTCATCTGCAAATAAACAAACAAACAAATCCTTTATACTGGAGCGTGATAGTCATCAACACCTTTGACGACAGGACCTCCTTGCATTCATTCATTCATTCAACACCCATGAGAATCTACCTACCAACGAGACATGCTGCGAGGAGGCCGTGATCACAGATTCCCACCCCCTGAGACCTTGTACATTACCGTGTTACTCCTTCAACCGGCAATATCAGTATCACCTGGGAACTCGTCAGAACTGCAGATTATTTTTTAGTGTTTAAAAACCACAAAATAAGTTTCATTTTTAGTTCAGCTAATTACTACATAATCTGGCTACGTCTGACTCTCTTTTATTCTAATCACTACGACTGATTATCATCCTTATTAACTATCACCATATCGCTGCTCTTGAACCAGACCAAGCTCCTGTTTCCTCACACGCACCCACAATGCTCTCCACGTCTTTGCTCACTTGGGCTCTTCTCACCACCTAGAATGTCTTTCCTCGCCCCTTCTGCGTCCAAACTCTATTTCCATAATTGGGCTCAAACTTTTCCCCATCTTTAAGGCTTTCTCTTGTCTTCTTAGCCAAAAGCAAATTCGCCCTATTCTAAATTGCTACAGGACTCTCTCTGTTCTGGCATTTGAAATTCCCCATAAGTGAGAAGTCAGTGGAACTTTAAGAACAGCCATGCCTGGCTTAGCTGCAGAAGCTCCCCATGCTAAGACACTGCACTTCCCAGGCTGGGATTGCATGGGAGGCCCCTGAATCCAGCCTAAAGGAGGGGTGCAGGGCATGTGCCTAAAATCCCTTGCAAGGCTCAGGCAGGAGGATCATGAACTTGAAACTAATCTGGGCAATGTAGGGTCACCCTGTCTGAAAGAGCCAGTGTGATGGCAAGCACATAGACCTGGCTTGAGTCTTTAAAAAAAAAATACTGTCCAAGACCCAACTTTAAGTTTCATGGCCCCTGATCCTTCAGTAAAAGCCTTTGACACACAGCATCATATTGGTGATGCTGGGGGAAATCAAAGACTCGTCGAGTATTTACAGCTGTGTGAATCAGTCCCCAAGAGCTATTGCGGAAGCCACGGGCAACGGCTGATGTCCAAAGGTGATGAAGGAGGTGGTGTTGCATGGGCTGATTCTCAAAATACAGGGTGCCTCCCTGCCCAGGGATCAGGGATGTTGGGGCAATCACAGATTCCCAGTCTCCCAGTGATCCCCTAGACTCATCTAGGCTGGGGCTCTGGATATTTGACTTGGCTACTGGAGAGGAAAGAGTAGCTCCAGAGAGCTATAGAATTTTGAGGGGAGTACCACAAAATGCATCAAGAGTCAAGCTGAATTGTTCCTTTTTTTAAAAATTATTTCATGTTGACTTTATTTATTTGTTTTATTTTGATCAGATAGAGACAGAGTGAGAGTGAGAGTAAGAGAGAGAGAGAGAGAGCAAAAGTGAGAAAGCAAACCACCAGGTCCAGGATTCGAACCACAGTCAGCCATGTGGGAGTCCAGCGCCCTTAACTGCTACCTCCCAGCCCCAGAATTGTTCACTTTTTAATGATGAAAAATGAACTGTATTGGGGCCAACAGGTGGCGTAGTGTTGAAGGCGCTGGATTCCCACATCGCTGACCATAGTTTAAGTCCTGGACCAGGTGGCTTAAGACACACTGAGCCCATGTGCATGCATTCCCAAAATCCCAAAAAGAGAATGGACGGAAAGGGATTCCAACATGGCCACCCCCCTGGGGGATGATTTCTCACTTTCTGTCTCTGTTTCTCTCTGTCTCCCTGGCAAGCACATGCATGCACCCTATAGTAAAAATCTCTTCATAAAAAGGAACTGTATTTATGCAGACCAATGATCCGCTAAGCTTGAGATGTTTTTAACAGTCAAAGTACTCCCGGTTACCTTGAGGACCTTCATAGAGAAAAAAAAAAAAAAATTAAGGTCCAAAGAGAATCAGTTGTACTTTATTGTAGTTTAATAATGAAATATACCATGAAAGAATTAAAGAAGGAAAGTCAGTCTGTTCCTAATTGAAGACTTGGGGGAATTGAGAGGTTGAGTGACTTTCTCGGGGTTACCCAGTGTGAGACTCAGATTCCTGGAGGCCATAATTATGCACCAGGCAGAGGGAATTCTACTATGCATTTAAGACATTGATTATTATGCTGTTTAATGTTCCTCATGCACAAATCTCAGGGCTTAATTCCAGAAAAAGGTT